GGGTTTTGCTGCCATGACCTCAAATATCTCTCCACTGTCAACTATCTGATAAAATCAAAATGTTCCCCAAATAAATCTTTAAAAAACAGCATCACCAAGATGACCAAATTAAATCTTATTAATCACTGAATGTAAAGCTGTGAATGAAAACCGCCACTTTGCTCCTGTTATGTCACTACTACTGCAGATGAGGCCACTCAAATGGAGAGTTCACCAACACTGACCCTCCGAAATTCATCTTTTGAAAGTGTGTCTTTTCAGAACGGCTGCAACACTATAAGACACAATGTCATCATAAGCAATGAATCAAAACAAATGTGATTTCCTTTGTTTGTATTTTTGTATAATGCTGCTCAGTTATAGTTGAAATATTAGCAAAAGACAAAGAGTCCACAGCCACGTTAGCAGCGCTGTAAGGCTGTACTTTGGCACAGCAGTGCTTGGAGCTAAATGCTAACATCAATGCTGATATTCACAATATTAACATGCTGAGGTATAATGTCTTCCAAGTTCACCAGTTTAGTTTAAAATGTTAGCATGCTAACATTTGCTAATTAGCACCAAACACAAAGTGCGGCTGAGGCTGATGGTTTTATGACCAGATATTTGGAAAGTATAGGACAAACTAAAATGTTTGACCTGATGATGGCGGTACAGGAAAAGTCATGCGATCACCAAGTCAGTAGGGCAAGTTGGGGAACCATTTTGTGTGTTTCAAACTTTGTCCATTTAGAAGATATTTCACTAGACAAATAACACCTTTGACCTGGTGGTGGCGTAAGAGAAAAAGTTAGATAATCACTCCTTCTCCAGGGACAAAACTTCATGGCAACCCATCCGATAGTAGTCCAAAGTGGTGGAACGACCGACCGGCAGATTGACATTACCTTCACTTTATATATACTGTATATAGAAACATTTGATATATCTTGACATCTACAAGATGGACAAATTTGGAAGTGTTTATACATGTGTGTATAAACTACTGTGCCCTCTGCTGATAAACATAAAGTGCCTGAGTGTCCCTGAGACTGAATTAAAATCAGCGTGACTCCAGCAGAGCGTATGAATCCCTTAAAGTCTCATCCAAGCACATTCCAATAGAACAGTATAAAGTCTGTGATATGTGCCTGCATACTTTGTCTGTGTGTGTGTCCTTATGTATTATAAGGCTCCATTGATGTGATGCGGTCTCGTCTCTGGGACCATCAGGTTTGCTTTTCACAGTGTGTTGTGTGGAACTGAAAGCTCGTCAGGTTGCATTTCTCTGGGATATGAAGTGCAGTCAAAGTTCTCACATGGGGCTGCGCACCTCACCGCAGGTTAACGGCAACAAATCCATCAGCACTGCTTCAAAACAAGCAAAGAAAACCTTTAAACTGCTACATCTGGAATAGGAAAAGCTGACACTGGTTTCTTGTTCATGATGTTTTATTCAGCTTGATGTGGGTGCACATTTAGTGGAGAAAGTCACTTTGACTTTTTATACTTGTTACAGTAGTTTTACGTCATGGACTTTAAAGTAGCACTAATCAATATGTTTAATGTAATTAATGTATGTAAATGTAATTATCAGCTGCCTCTACAGTTCCCCTCTACAGAGCGTTTTCTCCCATCTTTCAGCCCCATGTTTGGTTTTAGCAGCTGTTTGTTAACATGTTCACCATTTTAACTTTATAACGAGATAATATGTTACCTTTGCTGCTCCGTGTCTGCTCAACGTGCAAATAAGCAACTGTTTGCTAACAAGTTCGCCATGTCAACTTAAAAGATGATCATATGATAGTGTTGTGTTTACAGCTTGTTCTGCTGGACCAGTGGCCAAAATCAATTAATGCCGCTTTTAGGAATCTGTTGCAGTGTGATTTGTACCAAATATATCATCCAGTTCTGTTTTAAAATAAAATGTTAGACTGTTTCTTATTTTTGGTCATGTAGATCAAGTACATTAAATGGTGTGGGATATTTAAATTTAGCTTTAGCAATATGTAGTTAGCCTGGCAAAACTGTGGACAGACACGATCCATGAAATTGTATATTTTATTTTTACAATGCCTAATTTTGATTGTGAGTTTTGGAGATGCAGAAGAAAGAAGCTAAATGATGCAATATGTTTCTTTCTGGTCTTAATTAATGCTTGGTAAGATGCTTTCCAGACTTCAAATGGAATGGAAAACTTGGCTCACAGGATACAGGCGTCTAGTTTGGCAGTAGCGTTTAACATTATCAGCAGAATGCACAGTGGGGGGTATTGGTAAAGCCATCAAAAACAGGTAACAAGGTGTAGCAAATTACATTCAATAAGCTGCGCGTGTTGTCCGTTTACGAGTTATACACCTCAGCTTCTGATATCACAAACAGAGCATCATGAAATGGACATACAGTAAATTAAAAGACTCTTCTGTCCCAACATGATCAGTTAAGTCACTAATAACTATACCAGCTGCTAAAACTGTTTCATGTATGACAGGGCGCAGATAACATTAGGCTTTTAAAAACAATTCCTGGATAATGTTACGCCCATAACTTAGTCTACTGCTAGGTTTTACTCTCACATATGTAATATATGTGTCCTTAAAGAGAATTAATATTGATTAGAACCTGCTGGACAGATGTTTACTAAGAAATTTGACTAGCTATTGTGTGTGTTTTTATGTTGACATTTTATCTGTCTGCAAACAAAAAGAAAGTGGATTCAATCTTAATATAACACTTAAGTGTTTTGTTTTGCCATATTATCATATATATCATACACATGATGAATAGGGGTTTTGTAAGACTTTTGAAGGACAATGAGACATGTTACCTGAGAAGGATAAACAACAAACCACAGAACAGCAAAATCTGCGTTTTCCTGATATTGGTACTGATTGTTCTGACTCGTGTCTTCTAGCATTCTCATATAAACATGCTTTTTGATAAATGCTTTAAAAAAAATCTAATTTAATATGTATAAGATCAGAAAATAAACAACAAGCCTAAATGTGATGGCACATGTCCTTTCCGCACAGATGACAAAGAATGCAGCTGCAGTTATTTTTTCTTTTTCTCTCCAGCCAGAAATTGATTTAGGTTTAGAATGTTTTCTGAACTTGTGCCAAAACTAAATGCTGTGTCACTTCGTCCTCACAGCCAAAAGAAGAAGGAAAGAGAAAAGATGTAAAGAGATTATCTCATTTGTCGGGATTTGCTCTGACTTAAACGCAGATTTAAAAAAAAAAAAAAGAACATTTAGAAAATTACAAATATTGTGAGTTGTGATAAGCAAAAAAGGGAGCTGGAACAAAATATATTAAATTAGTTTAACTGATGTGTGATTCAGTTTATAATGTGAAATTCACTCACATTTGAATAATGGCTCATTTTGTTTTATCAGATTAAATTGCTGCATCACCGGAAAGTATCTGCATGCTGCAGAAAGCACAGATTGAAAATGTGCCTAAAATGTCCTGTCCTGATACCTGGTAATATTATTCTTGTCCTTCTGGTGTAGACATGCCCATCCAGAGCAGTATGATTTGGAAATATTGCTTCACTCGTGTTTTCATAGTTGCTTTGTTGTTCCTTTTAAGTTACTGAGCACACAAACAATGTAGCTGAAGACAAACACATATTAGAAACATGCCCTGGATAATACAATCTACCTGATACCTGCGCTGCCTGTCACACCATAACGCTGCCTTGCATTTCTGCTGTATTGATCTGAGTGCTCGTCCCAACATGGCTAATGCAGTGCTAGCTTCACTCTCAGGTCCAAACAGCACTTAGCACTGACGATCAAACACAAGCGCACCCACAGACATTTAGAGTGCAGCGATGATTTGTTCAGACTTGTGGGAATTGGCCAGCAGGCAGGTAAAACATCCAAATAGATTTTCTAATAAATCCTGATGCTGACAGAGTGCATGTGTGCAACATTTTGACGGAAGTCATCTTGCAAACCACCACCTGGGTAACATTAGAAACCTCCTCCTGATTGAGTTACAGACCCTTTTTGGTCAGCAGCCATGTCTTAATTGCCCAGTTTGAAAAGCTCTTAACCTGTTCCGTCTCTTCTGTAACCATCTGGCCTTCAAGACATTACTGATGCAGAGGCTGAAACACTAAGATATACCCGGTTTCACATTTTCAACCTGTTACAGGGAAAGACAGGTCTCCTAATGAGTCTGTTGTTTCAGGATTTCAGGACAAGCTGGCCTCTGTTAAAGCAATAATCCACCTGAAAAATACTGTAACACTAATATAAAACACACCTGGTGATGCATTTCTCATCATCACAAGATAACAATGTAAGACAGACTAATGTAAATTGTATTTCACTCAGGTTTCATTGCTCCCAGGTTGCTAATTTTCAGATTCCTACATTAGAACCTACTTTTGTTTGTATTGGTATTTTCTATGTCATCACAGTGTAATGTACACTAGATGCCTTACACTGTTTGTTAGTGAGCTACATGCATATCATATCTTTGTGACTGTAAATGTGACTGGATCAAGTCTTCCAAGAGGCCAGTTTGAAACATGAATCGTCTTGTAACTGACTTTTGTGGTTGCTCATCTGCTTTCCTTGACCTGAAAACCAAACTTTATCAGCCTCACAGGCCAACATGACTGGCAACATGTGCTGTTTCAGTTTGATTTGCATCGGTTTACACGCGTTCCAGATAAAATCTTCATCATCTGGCCTCCCTGTCCACCATGAGGGGTTTTAAACTAAAAGTGTACACAGCGTCAAATTGAGTTATGGCTCCATGTCAGTAAACTGTCCCCCCCCTCCTGTTATTGCTAGAGCCAGAAGCTGACATCGTGATTGTCCTTGTCCGATTAGGACAATCAATGAGACTGAACAGAGGAGAGAGGAAGAAGAGGAGGAGGAGGAGTAGAAGGAGAACTGAGGGATGTGTCTGTGTGTGTTGAGGAGGGGGCAGCTCCTCCCATAACTAAGTTAGCGTGCTGCGCTGGAGGTCCATGTTTACAGGGCAGGCGAGGGAGTTTCCTTCACTCAGTGGACGGCTCTGAGAGCGGAGAAGGCAGCAGCAAGCTCTCTCACTCTTTTCTCTCTGGTTATTTGTGCAATTCATCCCTCACTGTGCTGCGACTGGCGACCTGCACACACAGGCTGATCCAGGACTAGCTGGGGGGGGGGGGAGCGGCGACATCAGCAGCAGCAGCAGCAGCAGCACCTGCTTAATCCTCCACAACCACCACCCTCCCTCTCTGCCCGGCCCAGGACCTCATCTTTGCTGCCGCCGCCTCCACCACCACTGCCATCATGTGCGACTGTTTCCACCTGGCCTTCCCCAACTGGCACGCCGCCTCAGGGACGGGTGGGCATTGCTCTCTTTGCTCTCTCTGCTTCCCTTTCTCTATCACTTTCTCTGCGCTGTTTTCCCCTGAGCAATTCAGAGATCAGCAGCAGAGTTCAGTAGTGCAGTGGGAGAGATTACGTCTGTGTGTGTGTTTGTGATGGAGAGAGAAACTGAGTGAGTGTAAGACAGCTGGTGCTGATGCTGCGTTGTCTTGCTAACCTGCAGTGAGTGCTGGTGTGTCTGCAGAGTGCAGGGGAGTGTTTGAAGATGTCATCATCAAGGATGTCAGGCAGCTCTGCACATCTCCTGTTTCCCTCCTGCTGTGTCTTGAAGCAGAGGCTGAAAGGCAAACACACTCAGTTAGCAAAGCAGATATCAGCTAAAATAGTGGCTAAGGATAAACTTCCTCGGGGTAAAGATGAAAAAGGGAGATGAAATGTGGGAACAGAAGTAGTCCTAAAATTAACAATACCTTCACTGGCACCCAGATCTAAGCTTTAAAGGTGCAGCTGTGAAATCGGGAAGCGTTACTATCTGTAACCTTGCATCAGTTTTACTGTAGTAACCTGAGGAATAATGAAACTTCTCAAAGTTTAGGATGCTGAAAGCTCTAAAACCTAAGCTTGACACATCCCAGGATTCATTTTTCACAATTTTAATTCTAGGGTTTAATGGAATCAGATCTTATCTTCATGGTTACATCAAATTGATGTTGATGATCTTCTAACTTAATTCAATATATGCACGCCATGTAAACGCACCATATCCAATCACGTATAGGTATGTATGCACAAAACATAGTCGCGCAATTTGTGTGAAACTTTTGCAAATTGGTTGTAATCTTGAATCAGTTGTTTACGGTTAGTGGATGTCTTCCGGTATATTGTGGGTGTTCTTACCAAGGAGGAGTAAGTCAAACTGTAAAATGAGCCAAAGAAATCGCTGCATCATGACAGATGATATAGGATTCAGGAGAAAACCAAAAAGATTCTTACTGGTATTTGCAATGTGATAAATAATATTAAAGACATATTATTGTTGTAGCTTGTGTTAGTTTATGTTGAGGCAAGTGCTCAGGTTGATGTTGATGATCTGCTGTCTGGTAAACCATTAATATGGTACAATATAAAAATAATACTGGCTGTGTTTCCACATTGCCTCTTTCCATTTCCCTCAATTGTCCTCATTTACCCCTGCTGCTGCTTTTAATTATATCTGCATTAAGGTATGGAGAGGTGTGTGTAGCTCTGAGAGGCTTCAGATGATGCTCAAGGTCAGAAAGATAAGAAGCGAGAGAGAGAGAGAGAGAGAGAGAGAGAGAGAGAGAGCTCAACTTACTGCTAGGATGGGAGCCAGACAGAGTGGCTGAGCTGCTCGGCAGTGGAGCCGAAAGCAGACGATCCCAATACATTACGAACCATCAGCCTCAGTCAGACAATTCCTGCTCTTAAATCAATATCACACCCCTTGAGTAGTTTGTAAGTGTAGCTATTGAAAAGAGTTAATCAGAGCATTTGTTTTAACCTGATTGGAGCATCAGCCAGGTGGATGTTATTTTATACTTTTTGTTTGACCAATTGGGGCTCCAGGCTCACCAAAAGTTTAAACAGACGTTTGCTTTTGTCAGTTTTGTTCTTTTTTGTATTTAATCAATTTTCACTGAGATTTTCATGTTTTGTCATAGATTGAAGACCTCTGAAACATCTTTTAGTCCATTATAGAACACTTAAACCCAGACGGAGTCGCTTGAAATCAATTTTTAAAAACATAAGTGCTTTAAATGAAAAAAAACACTGCAGGTTATATAGACTCTATTAACATGGTTTTACGAGCTAAAAGGTATCATCAGTGAACAACTTTGGCAATAAGTGGTTGTAAACCTACATAAAAATTAAAAATAATCTATCTTTTTTTTGTACAAATTAAACAACTTAATTCAAGTACCTCAAATAAATCACGTTTAAGTCACTTGGTGCTGCAGGCATGTGAGGCAAAACAAACACTAAGAAGTGTTTGCAAACACAGTCCAACCCAGGTGTAGGTTGCTGACCTGAAATAATATTATATCTCAGTGTTTTTGCTGTAATCGCATTCGTGGGAAAACAGGCCGATTAAGATACGAATTCCAGAGTTGTGCTAAGTCTCGCTGCAGCAAATTAATATATTGAAAGCATACGCTTTTGCAGTCTCATGTTCATACAACCCATGTAGAAAATCTAATTCTGTTTTTTTCCCTTCACTCAAATCTTATTATAACTTGGATCCAAAGAAACTGCCTTCCAGTGAAAGGAGCTTGTGTCTGTCTATTACACAAAACTTGAGCTGAATCCAAATCCAAGAGCACAAATAATGAGCTGCATAACCTTATATTAGTTTAGTGAAGAAGGGAGCTTCAGGGAGCCTTCCAGGTGCTTTTCAACAGGAAACATAAACTGGAGCAGAAGGTGGTTACGTAAGAGATGAGGAAAGGCAACTAACACAGTACAGATAAGTTCAGATAAGTTTTTCAAGAGTAAATCTACAAACCTATTTATATTTCTAGAACAGTTTTTGTTTATGTAAGATCTTGTGATATGAATCAATGACAACAGGTGAGCGTATGAGAGGTTCACTGACATAGCATTGTGTCACGACAGATGAGTTTAACTGCCCACATTAGTGTTGTTTAAAAGCAGACGGTCGCAGACTCGCTGTAGTTTATAAGCCTCATTCTTTATCAGCACAAGCACTGAGGGGGATGAGCCACACCCAAATCCAGAGCTGCAGTTGCACCCAAATATGAATCATGCAGGATCTGCACCACAAAAGACTTCAGCATCAACCGCTTGTGCTTACATCTGCGGAATATTGCCATCAAAGTCAAATTAGAATATTACAGCTTTATGAATATTTACAATATCTGATCTATGACACGTCAAACAAGTAAATAGGTCTACTATATGATTTTATTTAGACAATTTGAGCAGTGAGAGTTGTTATCAGGCCCTCCACAGCGCCCACATGACAAATATTTGAGAAAGGAGGTTTCTACATGTGCACTGCCAGTTATTGGGGAAGGAACACTGAACATCCGCCTGGATGAAGTGGTGACTAACATAAGACATACTAATAGTCATGATCCTCTATAAAGCTCACTACACACATTGATGCCTACTGACTACTCCAGCAGCTGTGTACTTGAGACACGACACGGACAGTTTTCTGCCTTGAAGAGCCCAGGCTCTCTGGTTAATTTAATAAATCTATCTAATTCTGTTCAGCTTAACTTCTTGAAGACACACTGGATCAGTCACGCCTCCTTGCACCACAGCAAAGTATACAATTAAATTTAAAATATGACACTGTACTTTGTTGTAAATAATTTACCGCTAAATGGAAAGGTGCAGCTGTAAACCCACTTTCAAAACAAGTTGTGTAAAACAAGAAATAGTTTCTCAGAAACTCGGTGAAAAACATTTTATGAGATGTAACACAGTTGTCAGACTTGAATATCAATATCTCTGCAAAACCTCCACACTTTTCTTTTCCATCTCACTCCTTCAATGACAAACTGCTTCCTGTTTCTAGGTGTGTCTCCTCCATCTAATCAGCTTGTTATGGCTGAAACATACATACTTCTCTTTCAGCGTGTCTTTCACCTGTTTAAAGAAGCACATTTAACATATTTGAAAGTTTTTTGTGCAAGGGGACTGATGCATAAAGTGATAGGTCTACAGCTGGTTACGGTTTCAACTGCATCTTGTGTGTACTGTCCAGATGTGAAGATAAGACTGGAGATAGACTTTAAAGGGTAACTTCAGCATTTTTCAACCTTATTTTATTATGTTTCTGTGTGTATGTTTTTGAAATTGGTCCAGTACTGAGCGAGCGTGCTGCAGTTGACAGCAGTGGCACAGGTACTGCAATGCAATTCTTGTGGAGTACTCAAATTAATCAAAGTCCACAAAAGTGCTCGTTTTTGCCACTGACAGGCTCAGATTGTTATTACAAGAGTCTGACAACATAATGGAAGGATCCCTACAGTGTAAGATCCTTTTTGTTTAACCAGAAACTGTTGTAATAACGCTCTCGTCACCAAATTCCCTTGACAAAAGCTCTATTTTACCTCTTTGGTCCACCGCTGCCTTGATCGGTTATAGTTTGCATGTGTAATTGTGTGCAAAATACCAATGTCACACAATAACACAAACTAACCGACCGAGGCAGCAGTAGACCAGCAACTCCCGTGAGGTAAAATGAATGTTTTTATCAAAGGAGTCTAGTGGCTTTGATGAGAGTGATATAGCGAGTGTTTCTTGTTAAACAAAGGGGTTTAGGTCTCTCTCTGTAGGGATCCTTTCCATAATGTTGTCAGACACTTACAATAACATCTGAGCCAGTCAGTGGCAAGGATTACGTTGCGGCCCTGTCTGCAGTGCGCTCATATCTCAATACTAGACCAGTTTAAAAAGAAATTGTCCCAATTAGTCACACAGACACACAAACATGAGCAAATAAGGTACAGGTTGAAACAACACTGAAGTTACCCTTTAAACTACCAACCAAAACACATTTTTCTAGAGGGAAAGTTAAGGCATCTCAAGTCAGTAGGACTCAGCGTCATGAATGCCTGTACAATTTGTCATTCCATCCAATAGCTGTTTAGATATTTTAATCTCAACTAAAGTTACCAAAAGACTTACAAAAAATGCCCATATCATTGATATTTTAAAGGACTTATTACAGGAATGGTTTGTTATTGGGTTGTTAATGTAGAAAGACTGATTACGTTTCTCAGTTACTTTTTGCTGCAGTGGAAAAAGCCTTCTGTCAAGTTTTAGTGGTTCCACTAATTTTACGTTTTATTTTATAAATTAAACTGTTCAAAATGTGTTGTTTAAGGTGGACTTGACAAGTAGGGTGGTCTTCACCTTCATTAGTTTATTAAGATTATTAAATGTAAAGTTATTTTAAGGAATATGTGGTGCAAAGAGTTAAGTCTCAGAACAAAAGTCACCACGAGGACCTGTAGAAACCACTTTATTCAATTTGGGAGTGACACCCAAGGTATGCTGCAACCTAAAAGTGTCCCGCCTCCTTTGTCCATCTGAGACTGAACAAATTACTTTGGGCATTTTGGCAGTCACACTCACGGACAGTTTGGACAGCGTGTTATTAACACCTTGTTTTATTTCCAGGTGTTGAACTAACAACAGCAGCAGGTAGGTGTGCTGTTTGATTTCACAGAATGGGCTCTGTATTTGAAATTCTGAGAGTTTTTTGTTACTCAAACCTGAACAGACAGATGGTTATGACTTTATGATAAGCATTCATAGGAGACTTGAGTTCATATGCAGGCAGAAGTAGAGACTCCAGACTGTGGTGTGTTCAGAGCTGTGAATCTGCCTTTCTGTTGGATAAATCTCCTCTGGTGTTATTTCTGATCCTTGTGTCAGAGCAATATATGTATATGATGACAGTGCAGGTTGTGTTTCAGGTATTTTTTTTTCAGTACCAGTAAGGAAAAATCAATATAATATGTCATTTGATAGCTTTTCTAACTCTCTTGAATGATCAACCTTGAGGCAGCAACACACCCTGATACAGTAGGAGGTTTTTATACAATGAGTCTCTTGCCATAATTGTCTTCTAAGTGCATTAGAAGATAAAGAGACTGACACAGGCAGTTAAACCTCTTCACATGACATGCATTAGGGCAGTGGGTGGGGTGTCATTGTGGTGGTTAGTTGAGAAACTATGGTGCTGCAGTATATATGTTCATACTGTGCACATTGTGCAAGTTTGTTTAATTCAAAGTTTTAGCCTCTATGTGTAGAAGCTGTTTTGATACAGAGGAGATGCTTTTAACAACAAGAGAAAAAGAATATCATCCATAAAAATCTGTTTAGAACTACTTCTGGACCCAAACGAGTGTATTGGCACACAGAGCATACACACAACTATTTTGATTATTAATTTAATGTTTTTGTAAAGTGGCCACTGATTAACTTTACTGGATTGTTAATTGCTTTTGGGAGCTCTGTTACCCTGAAAGAATTTAACTACAGGCCTTCTCATCCAGCGTTGCAGGTTCAGGAAGTTGATTCGCTGTTGATGCAAACATTAAACACTTTTGGCTTAAATTCATTGATTTAAGTTGAGGATTTTAGTGCTTTATTAAGACTTACAAAGACTACATTCTTAGTTTTATAATGTATCAGCTATCACTCAGCAGAAAAAGTTTAATCAGCTGCTCAAAGACCAAAAACATTTTATCCGCAATTGAACCAATACAACTGCATCTATTCATTACTAATTTCTACTGATAACATAACATCTGCTGATCAGTGGCCTCTTGATGACATGAATTTATTGACCAATGAGGATCTAAAACCACTGCAGATGTGGAGATGTGGTCAGAGCAATGTGCTTTCTCCACAACCGTTAAGCCTACATAAACGCAAACTTAAAATTATTTTAACCCAAACATTAGAACTATGAACAAATAGACGATATCTCCAAATATGAATCCTGATACAATGAACTTCCTATTAATATGGCCTGAATAAAGACATAGTTTAAAATGGAATCAAATCCAACACAGAGTAGTTGTCAGAGCTGGTAATAATAATAATCTGACTAACCATTTTTAAATGGAATCAGACTTTCCCTTTTTGGCAGCCTTGATGGGCTGCAGAATCAAATCTGTAGATCGATAAGGATCACTTAACAGATGCAGGAGGCAGCGGGTCCCTGGGGGAATTATTGCCAGGAAGAACTCTAAATAGTCTCATCACCGGCTCCAGTCTCTCTGAGCCCCAAAACAAACGCTAGGAGTCAGACTGGGTAGAAGTCTCAGCTTACTGCTTAAAAAATAGATATAAACGCCAGTGCTAATCTTCTGTTCTGTACTGTGCAGACTGTATATTGTTTACTGACATAGTTTTGTACAATAAAATAATTACATACTTCTTGTTCAATGCATTTTATTTGCTGTGTTTGTACATGTAAAATGACATTAAACAACATTATTTATTCAGTGGAATTTGTTAAGCTGCTCTGTGATTGGTGCTGCTAACATTACCTAATGGAAAGGGCAACATATTTTTTTAGATGACGTTAAGTACTTGTGCTCGCGAAGCCTGTTGAAATGAAGCTCTACTGTTTATAAAAATATTATTACGATAAGAAGATGTCATATCAGGTGTTTTTTGTGTGTAAACAGGAGCTGGTCGGAGGCTGAGAGCACCAGAGCCTGGTACAGAGGACGACTCAGTGAGTGACTTCACTGTGACTGACAGTGAAATTACTAATTTATTTATTTATTGTCATTCCGTTTGATTTCTTTATCAGTCACTGAAGGGCTTCAATCAACAGAAAAATGTAAATGCTCTGTATTTGTATAGCTCCTTTCTAGTCTTTTCAACCACTCAAAGCACTTTTAAACTACATCTGCATTCACCAGTCACACACATTCATACACTGAGCCTAAGTGCTCAAACAGAAACTAACATTCACACACATTCATACACTGGCGGAACAGCCGCAATTCAGGGTTCAGTATCTTGCCCAAGGCCAACCCGCTCTATCTCCTGAGCCACAGCCGCCCCAAAAACAATATGTAAAAACAGAAAACATTAAGTCTATGCATTGATTAACTTTGTTAATACTATTGTTATTGTTGTCATGTATTTATGTTTATTTTTATTTATTATTTGTTTTTGTCTGTATGTTGTGTCTCACAATTTAAAAAAAAAAGTATACACCAGGGATGTCTGTATCATCTTTTTTGGCCTTACTCCAAATTACTTATAGGTATATCTGATAACGAGTCTGATCCGTATATCTACCTAAAAGATTATTAAATATGTCTGAAATAGTGAATTAACAGCTGTACCCTTCTAAATTTGGCACACTTTACTTTTCTTGAGCTTCTTGATCCGAAGGCCCATGTTTAAAACAAGTCATTGATTGATAAGTCATTGGGATTAATCCTCTGGGGACCATTAATGTCTGTAATAAATTTTAAGGGAATAAATCAAATTATTTTTTAAGATATTTTGCTCTGGGCCAAAGTGTTGGACTGACAGACCGGCCAACATTGCCATCCCTGGAAACACACAACTAATGTGACAATTATTAAACAGCCAAACACCCAATCAGTGCTACATTTGGCATGGCAAGGTGTTATCACACTACTTGTGATCCAGTTTTATCGACAGCTTTATGGTTCATGCTGGAAGCGCAAATTCACGAGTTTTAACATGGCTGAAGAAGAGGAGATGCTGTTTAGGCAGATGCATGATGTCAGATTTAAACTGACTCAAATGTCATGGTATCTATTTGAAATGAACACTGTTTTGGAAAAAGACCATGTGACTGTTTTCGTTGTTTACTGACCTTATATCCACGCAGATATGTGACGAGCCATCTCAGTTCACAGAGGGAGAGAGGCCGCGCCCTCAAGGATCATCCCCCGTCGAGGAGTATCCTGAAACCGAAAAATACACAGACAGTGACAAAGAGGTACAGAGCACCAACATACCACTATGTTGTAACACACAGACACAACAAACCAGGTTACAGGGAGAAACCAGGGGCCTGTACCACAAAGTGAGTTCAACATACCCAGGATATCTTTTAGTTATCTGGCTTAACTAACCCTAACAATCGCGGTCTGGATAAGCGGTACCACGAAGCTGGTTATCAACTCGGTAAGTCATTCCAGGCTTTCCCAATCCGGCCAAGAGCGCGTTAACATAAAAGAGGCGGTGTTAGCAGCAGATAACCAATCACAGACATGAACAAGTCCACTGGCATCAGAGTGTCATATTTTACAAACGAAGAGCAAACTGTAACACTACAGAACACAAGCTAGGATTCATCAGAACCCGCACCACAGAGCGGACCACATACCAACAAGAGCAGAAGCCAGAGAGCCTGTGGATACCCTAAATGGACCTTTGTGAAAACAAAATCCAGGAAGAAGACCAACACTACGGGGGATGAGGAGAGGAAGGTCAAACGCAACAACATTGTGATTCCATATGTGTCTGGAGTATCAGAGAAACTCAGGAGGATTTTCAACAAACACCACAACCTGTGTTTTTTTAAACCCAAGAACACGCTAAGACAGAGGCTGGTACAACCCAAAGGCCGCACATCCAAACACAAGAAAAGCAACAAGGAGGGCCAACTCCTCAGGTCAAGACTCTTTTTTACATCTGAAGGACAGAGGACACTCGTTTGAGAATCACCAGGTGCACATTTTAGACAGAGAAGATGGATGGTTTGAAAAGGTGTCAAGAAAGCCATTAACCCCCGGGATGAGATGCCCTCGTTGAACAGAGGGGGGGTCTACGCCACCACTTACAATGCTGTCCTTTCATCACTTCCCAGGCAACTCAACAAGCGTTGACAACCACTTGGCCTCAGGTGAAGATACTAACGATGGTCGTTCAGACTCGGCCACGTGTGGTCTAACGACCATGACGATGTCTTTACCACAGCCAGGAGCAATTACTATCCCAGTCAGAACTGAAGAAGTCTCTTGGATGAGGGACTAAACGTCTTCTAGTATCTTCAGCAAAGTCCATTTGCCCTTGACCTCAGAGTCAAGAGTTTCTCCACAACACCGCCAAAAACATAAAAGCAGCCTATAAAACAGTGGGTGGGATTTTCTACAGATGGAGATGTCATTTTCCAAGAGAGCTGATTGGTCAGTAGACGGCGTTTTCATAGAGTTGATCTCTTATCTGGAACATAACCTGCTCCGGAGCAGGTTAGCCGTTCAGCATAAGTTACCATGTAAAAAGTGAACCACCTTCGTAGTACTGAAAACCCAGGGTTAACCCCGAAAACTTGAACCTTTACTTGTAAAACACTTAGTCATGCAGTCTATTTTGTTTAAGCTGTAGACAAATTAAGTTAGAAAAACAAGCTTGTGTTCAAGAGAAGCAAGCTTGTGCATCTAGCTCATTTATGCTTATGCAGAGCTACAGTATGCATGCCCTAAAATCTAAAAGTGAGGATCACTAAAACAAAGGCTAGTGATATTGACAAAGACTTTAACTGGACTGCATCAGTGTTTGCTCCACATGAAGCTCCCACACTTAAATGTTACAAATACGTAGAAATAAAATAATAATTGGAATTGTATATAATGGAAATCATACATCACGATTACTTTGAAATCGTAACCACAATGTGCATATGCTAACACAGAACAGTCCTAAACTACATGGTGCTGTTAACAGAGAACTGTATTTATGTTTGGTGAGTTACTGTGCTTGGCTGCCACTCTCAAAAATTTGTTTAAACATTTAAATTAAACCTTTGATGGAAGAAAACGTTCTATTGGCTCTTTTTCCTACTTTAAAACTTTAAAGTAGCCACAGCCTGCTAACAATGCTATAGTTTGTTGTACAAAGCCTGCTAGGCAGTGCGCAATGTTTTATAAACTGTTCCATCAATGTAGCAATTTGTTCCCTCGAATTAAGTTATTAAATTATCACCATCATCCAGCCATTTGTTCTTTTCTCCTCTGCACTCCCAGTATAGACAGCTTGGATTTAATACAAATTTATTTTGATCTTAAACATGTGGATATAATTTGTACACTGAGTGCACAAATTCAGAATTTAAAGGAACAATATATCACTTACCCACTACACACACAGTATTTGTGTCCAGTCAACAGTGTGATGTAAGATGGGCTCTCTGTTTTGTTTACTGTTGCAATAATGATACAGACTCAGCTACTCCCATGTATGAACCCTCTCAGCGCAAATACTTTCAAAGCCTGTTGATCAAACATATCTGTCGCCTTTTTTTGTTCAAATAAGGCTGAAGCTCTGACTGCAACAGTTTTCTTTTTTTTTTTTCAGTATCATGTTTAGTTATAATTAAACAATATTCTTTCTATTTTCCTTTTAGTGTGAAGCGGAGCATGACCCACACTACAAAAGTGGGAGTGGAAAGAAAACTAAAAAGTCTGGGCTTGGGTCCATGTTTGAAAAGCGCTCAACTCCAAAGATGAGTAAACTAAAGGTGAGACGTTCCCACCTTCTCCTCTCTGTACTGTATCTGTGAATCCCTTCAGGCTGTGCTGCAGCAGGGGATAAATACCACAGTTTAAGGTAAAATTATTTTATCCTATCTGTTTTGATGTGTTGGCAGGAAGTTCATAGCCCTGAGTCTGGGTTGATAGTGAAAACAGCCAAAGATGGATGTTCAGAAGGTCTCGTTTATGGTGGAGGTGGGAAAGAGGGGATCTTCATTAAGGAGGTGGTACCAGAGTCACCTGCCTCAAAAAGTCTGAAACTGAAGGAAGGTAAAATAGCAGTTGGAAATGAGAAACAATTATAGTCATATTTTCTTTACATTACATTGAAAACTAAACATGCTTCAAATGATACGAGTATGAAATGTAGGATTAACAAAGTTTCTAATTAGGTTAATTGGAAAATCTATTTGTTATTTACAAATTTCAACACCTATAAACAACATCCCATTAAAAACTACAAACAGACCATTAAGCGTGATTTATTCTCCTGCGTCGGGTCCACGCACAAAGACCCGACGCAGGAGTATAAATCATGCATTTACGTCATGCAATTACTGCCGCTAGTTTGTTCGGGTTGTGATGGTCAAATATATTGATCCACCTTGTTACAGCCGCTGGTTTGGCTGCTAGTAAAATTTACTTCAAAGCACGGGGACTTCCTGTCGGTTTGGAGGCATTGCGAGGCTGCCCAGTCGACTAATCACAGTTCTTACAGTCCGCGTCGCCTCGATGTGTAGTTACATTTTTGAGGAGGTGCACAGCGTAAGCTACAGCGTAGGGTACGGGGCTACGCAGAGGCTACGCCTTTGATTCCACGCAGAAGTATAAATCACACTTTACAGTACTTTAACTGAAGAAACTTTATAAGATTAAGTTACAGAGTCTAAGACTTATCATTTATTAAACAGTTTCATAGACCAAAAGCCTTCTTATCTACGTGCTTCTGTAATACTTTGCTCTTGTTTACACAGGTGATCAGATTCTGAGTGCCACGGTGTATTTTGACAATGTGTCATATGAGGATGCCATTCAAATTCTGGAGCACGCTCAGGCTTACAAAGTGAAGCTCTGCTTGAAACGCAAACCGGACATTATAGAGACTGAACCAGCCATCGAATCTGATGTCATCCCTGTAACTATCTTCAAGTTGTCATCTCAGACCCTTTGTGATAAGTACTCTAGTGGCTAAAACTGATGTTTCATATTTCTCTTGCTCAACAGGAGGATGATCTCTACGCTCCAGAGATGAGGGAGCAAGGAAAAACTAAAAGGCGTGGTGATGCCCGCATTTCATGGCCTAAGTTTCCCTCCTTTGGAAAAGGACGGAAGTCCCGCTTCGCAAGGTCTCACAGTTCCTCAGAGGCTGATGAGCAGAGAAAGCTTGAGCTTAGTCCCACCACAAGTGACACAGAGTCACCTATAAAATCACAGGATGCTCTCAAAGGCAAGAAGCAAAAAATAAAACAATCTGTTTTTAAAAGGAGAGGCCGCATAAGTTCATCTGAAGACCAGGACACAGATGTAAGTGGGCAGATCAGTGGCAATATTCTCCAGACACACGAAGCATCAGACATGCTATCACCGGAGTGCCTTCAAAGTCCTTCGGGAGAAACACCTGAAGTCTATGTGACAGAGGATCCAAAAATAGTGGACGATTTAATGCTTGAGCAAAATGATCAAAAACTGACTGAAACTGTTCAACATAAGGCGGAACTCATCACTATAGGTAGCACTTTGAAAACAGAAGATCTAACTGTGGCTCTGGCAGATGAAAAAAGCCCCTCTGGTCTCAAGTCCCCTGACGGGAAGAAAAAGAAGAAAGAACGATCTGAATTCAAAATGAAAATTTTGGGGAAGGATAAATTGCACAAGAAAGATGCAAAAGCAAAATCCTCACCAAAAAGGCTGAAAACGCTGGGGGCAAGTATGGAAATTGCAGATCAACCTGAAAATGAAAAATCAGATGTACAGGGAGGTCAACTAGCACTCGATGCCAATACGCAAATAATCAGCAGTGAAAGTTCAAGGGTAATCTCAGCCAAATCAGTGATGGAAATGAGCATACCAAAGGTGGAACTTGATATATCTGATGTTGCATTAATAGAAAAATCTCCACAGAAAGGTGAAGAAAAAACAAAGAAAGGCAAGGATATTAAACAAAAACAAGAAACAAAGACAAGTCCAGCATTCAAACTGCCTAAAATAGGTTTTAGTGACATTGCCACTGAGGAACTATTCAAAAAATTAATTTAAATGTTGAAGAACGCCAAGCTAAAATTGAGCAGCTTACAACTCAGGGTTCAGAAGTGAAAGAAGATCCTTATGAGCGACTGTCAAAACGCAGTCTTTCCAGAACAAAACTTCCAAAACGTGAAGACATTGAGATTCCAGGTATGGAGGATATGTCTATGAGGACCACAGCCAAGATAATTAAAGATCCTAAAGCTGTTTCTACTGGACATTATGAACAAATTCAAGCTGAAACTGTACAAATGTCAATTGATGTTGACAGCGTGAAAGAGGCAGTTTCAAAATTGCCTGGATTTAAGCTGCCTAAGGTTGACACATCTGGCGTACCGATTCCTGAAGAAATTACTGTGATAGATGCAAATGCACAAAGAATATCTGTGAAAACACCTACTAAAGTCTTAGATACCAAAACAAAACATGAGGCACACTTCCCCAAGTTTGACATTACTGCCT